GAGGTTAGGAAAGTTGTTTGCAGCACACATGATTAGGGGAATATTCATCTTCAAGATTTAGCTTTCTTCCAAACAGTGTAAAATACCCACAATTCCAAGTATGAAGGGACGCAGACCATCTCCTTTGAGAATTCCACAGGACAACAGAGGCACCTGAGCTGTTCTTCAAAGAGGGACAAGGCTTCTGTCAAATCGACACACTTGCCCTGTGTAAAATATTTCCCATCCTGTCTCAATACTTTCATTGATAGGTCAAGAATCCATCTGAGAAACTCCCAGTGGAAACTTCTTCTGGAGATGTGGAGATTGGACCAGCTGTGAAATCATCACATAATCAAATTCTCTCCCTTCCTTGGCATACTTCTTCAGTACTGGAATACATCCTTCTATCAGAAGCTGATGGGGAGCTGGGGATGCAGCTCTATTGGTAGAGTGCTTGCCTAGCATGCACAAGGCCCTGGGTTCAACCCCTAGTGCCACCAAATAAACAACAACAAAAAACCCAGAACCCGAAAGCAGTCTCCTTTAAGACTAAGATCCTTAGCACATGTTTTTTTTTTTTTTTTTGCATATATTTCTTACATCCATCAAATCACCATTTGTCAATCCTACCATAGTGACCATCTTTGGTTTCAGTTTGACTATTTCACATAATACACCCTCTTCTTTGCCTCCCAGCATCAGCTCATCTTTGCCAGTGTGGTTTTTGCCTCTGCCCATGATAGCCCAGGTATAGGCAAGATCACTGTCTGCCAAGTTAACATCCCCGCTAAGGACAAGAATAGTTCCGAAATGCTTCGGGTGTAGAATTTTAATGTTCGGATAAGGTGGGTCTTCATCATACACCTCCTCATCTCCGTCGTACTCATCAGTAGGACGTGCCCATCAGCAGTAGGCCTGATATCTGCCGATGGCCCCTCCTCCAACTATGGGTGGTACGCATTTCACTCGCCCAGTACTGTCCTCACCTAATTCTTTCATTCTTTCTTCCACTTCGTTCAGAAGACTGTCCATTTCTTTGTCCTGTGCATCACTGTCCTAACTCTGAAGGTCCAGCGACACCAGTCCATATGGATACATTCTCAAATTGGCAAAGCTGCTATTTTTGTTTGTGTAAGTTGCTAAATAGCCATGGTTCCTGCCAGGTGGGCACCGATTCCGCCATCCTCTGCTCCTGGAAAATGAAGTCCAGCCTGCTGTGCCTTGCTGCTGCCTTAATGAGAGGGGGGCCCTGCGCCATGCCTGCGGGAGGTGGTCATGGAAGACTGCCTCCCCACCCCCCACCCCCCCGCAATGCGGAGATGGCGGGGGGAAGGAGAATTTTGAGTTTCTTTCGAGAAAAAGTGGCTGAATAGGCAGGTGTAGTGTCTAAGCAGCAATGAAGAAAGTAAAAGCTGGTATGAAAAATTGGAAATTATCTGCTTTTATGTGGCATTTAAAGCCATAGGGCTAAGATGTTCTTTGTAAATAGTTTGTGCTTATTTGTATAAATTTGGAGAAAAATGCGAACAGATGCACAGAGAGACTAGATACGTAGGTTCAAATCCCAGCTACTAGAGCTTTGGAAGGTTACCCAGCCTCTCCATACCCCTATAAAATGAAATCTCATTCTATAAATATAGTATATAGATTTATGTAAATATATAAACGACATATTATCTTTATATCTCCATAAAAGGAAGTTGTCCTATTGGCTCCACATCGCCACCTCTTGGCTTATAGAAGCTACCCTGAAGGTGGAACCTCCAGACAGTAACAGCGTCCCCAGCGCACCGGCTGAAGCCAGGAAAGCCATATTGACTACTGGAATGGGAGGAGCGCGTTGAGACGTTAGGGCAAACCGACTTCCGGTCACCAGCTTGAGTGACAACAGAGGCGGAGCTCCAACTGGTATGTTCATTAAGGGCAGGGCTTCCGGGACTTCTCCCAGAGAGCTACGGCTCGCCACCCGCGGCGGGGAGAGGCGGGCAGTCGTAGCTCCGCCCCCGCCCTTGGGCTCCACCTCCCAGCCCCATTTCCGCCGGGCGAAAGTCCGTAGGCGCCGCTGCCGTAAACGAGGCCGGCGGTTCGCCAAATCACGGAAGATGGCGGCCGCGACCATGAACGGAACGACAGGCATCTCGAGCTCCGGGTCTGCGGCGGCCTCGGGCGCTATCCTGCAGGCCGCGGCCGGCATGTACGAGCAACTCAAGGGCGAGTGGAACCGGAAAAGCCCCAATCTTAGCAAATGCGGAGAAGAGCTGGGCCGCCTCAAGGTAGGGTTTGGCGGGCCCAGGAAGCCAAGTGCTTAAGGGGTGCTACGAGAGGTCTGGTCCCAGCCAAGTTCCGGGCCACCCGAGAGGCTTCGGTGCCGATGGAAACCGGGCGGCCTGGAGATCCAAACGACAAAACATTCGGAACAGCCTAAGTGAGAACTCGGAGGGGGTCAAGGAGCAGAGAGGGCTGGAACGGACCAAGTGCGGCCCCAGGGGGGCAGGGTGGGGAGGGAGTGATGGAGAGATGGGTCAGGGCAGAACCAAGCGAGGGGTTCCAGCCTTGCCGTTCGGAAGCCCAGCTGATCAGAGGGGCCGGATGCAGTATCGGGTTTTTCCCGATGACGAGTTCATGACAATGCTGAATGGGGAATGAGAACTGCAAAACAAAGTCTGAGATGATGGGGCATGTAGGGATGTGTGGGTGAGACCTGGCCAAGCTGGGGTCTGAGAAATCTGAGGTTAAGAGAGCATCTCTGGAAAAGGGGGCAGGGGCAGGGCAGAACCTACAAGAAAAATAATATGGGGTTCAGGGTGCTTCAGACTAGGTCTGTTTGGGAAAGAGTATAAATAGAGTATTCTGGGCCAAGTTACTGAGTTTAATAAGGAATGGTGTATAAGCTGGATTTGGGCGGAGATTAGTGCCTCTCCCTACCTGTAGATTTTTGGGGTAGCCCAGCTGCCGCTTCCCAAAGAGTGTAGGGAAAATGTGTCAAGAACAGAAGGTCCTGGTGTCCTTCCCATCCCGGTGACTTCCTTGGGTCAGGCACTGGAGTGTCTTTCCTGTTTCCCCAGCGGGGCTATTAATATATATGATATGAGGTCATCCTAAATGAGTGCTTGCTTGTGTTCAGGTTCTATTCTGAGTGCTTTTTGAGGATTGGCTCCTTGAAGTACTCAAAACAGTTTTATGAGTCAGGGATGATGGTTAGTTTAATTTTCCAGGTAGGAAAAAACAAACCCCAGAGAGGGTAAGTAGCCTCTATGTGTGTGTTTCTGGAGCTCAAACCCAGGGCCTTGCACATGCTAGGCAAGCAGTCTACCACTAAGCTACCTGCCCAGCATAGTAACCTATATTTGAAGTCCTATCTTTCCTTCCTTCCCTCCTTTCCTCCCTGTCAGCTGGTTCTGCTGGAGCTTAACTTCCTGCCAACCACAGGGACCAAGCTGACCAAACAACAGCTCATTCTGGCCCGTAAGTGTCCCTGGGGTTGGGGGGGTGATGGGCTGAGGATTGTGGCAGGAATGGTGCTATGGTTTGGGGGAGGGAACCCAGTCATCTCCTGAGAGCTTGCCCTGTCACTCACAGGTGACATATTGGAGATCGGGGCCCAGTGGAGCATCCTTCGCAAGGACATCCCCTCCTTCGAGCGCTACATGGCTCAGCTCAAGTGCTACTACTTTGATTACAAGTGAGGTTGGGCCCTGCCACTGGGGAGGGATGGTGGTTACTGGGCAACTCTTATATCTTTGTTTCATCCAAATGGGCTTCTTCCTTCTACTGGGAACCCCTGATCTGCCTAGTTATGTACCCAGAGATTTCAGGGTCAGGGGATTGACTTGGAAGTCGTGAGACTGGGGTCGTATGATCTAATTTCTGTAGATATCTAATCCATTGACTTCCCTTACCTGTTGCCACACTAAATCCCCTCTGCCCAGTGTGGCCACCATTATCTTTTACCTGCCTTGGCTCCAGCCTTGGATTGTATTTCTCCATACCAGCCCTGTCTCTCCCACCGGACTGTGAGCTTCCTAAAGGTAGAGTTTGGAACTGTCTTGGTCACAGTTGTGTTTTTAGCATTGCCTACTACAGGCCCAGCCCACCCAGAGCAGGGACTTGATGTGTGCAGAATATAAAACTGAATGACATCTTTATGGATTAATGATTAAGAATTTGATATCAGACAAACTGGTTTAAAACATCTTGTTACTTCCTGATAATGTAGTCACCTCTCTGTCTCAGTTTCCCCCTTAAAGTGAGGGTGATGATTTTTGGCATAATCTTATTGAACACTTTTTTATAGTGCTTTTCTGGGTAAGACTCTGTTCTAGTCATTTTACCTGGGTTAGATCATCTTACTCACTTAACCTTTGTTTAACCTATCTATATGAGATGGATACTGTGGTGAAAACCCATTTTACATTTGGGGAAATCAAGTCACTGTTCTGAAATGAGGTCACTTGCTTGATTGGGTTGATATAACTAATAAGGGATTTCTTGCTTCTTTGGGCCTCAGTTTCTTCATCTGAAAACTCAGGGCCCTATAATCCTTCAAGGAGATGAAGGAGGGTGGTGCTTGGTAGGTCTCTAAGCCTTCCCTTTTTTTTTTTTTTTTTTTATGATTCCCCTTCCTGGTCCACAGGGAGCAGCTCCCCGAGTCAGCCTACATGCACCAGCTTTTGGGCCTCAATCTTCTCTTCCTGCTGTCCCAGAACCGGGTGGCTGAGTTTCATACAGAGTTGGAGCGCCTACCTGCCAAGGATATCCAGACCAATGTCTACATCAAGCACCCTGTGTCCCTTGAGCAGGTGAGGCTGGGCAGGGAAGGAAGGGCTTGGCTAAGGTAGGTAGTACCAGGACAAGTACTAGGGGAGTAGTCAGGGTTCACTAATATTTGCTCATTTATGCAACAAATATTGAGCTCCAGCCGTGCTCTGGGTGCTTGTTAGCTTTCAGACTGTGCAACGAATCATAAATTTCTTGATCTTGGGGTGAACGCAGTGAGGTGAGGAAGCAGACAGTAAGCAAAAGTGGAAGTAAAGACTGTGGTCTGTCAGGTAAGTTCTGTGGAGAAAAATAAGGAAGCAGGGTGGGGTGTAATGGGCAGGGGACAAAATTTAATATGGGGTGGTCAGAAAGGACTCTGAAAAGTTGTGATTTATGCAAGACTTGCAAAGGATGAGAATGAAATCATGTGACAATCCAGGCAGGGCAACCAGCCAGTCTAAACTGAGGCAGAAACTGCCTGCTGTGTTTGAGAAACAAATGAGCTGGACCAGGGGAGAACTTCAGGAGCTGGGGTTAAGAAATAGTTCCTGAAGCTGAGGTTGCACAGGATTTGGCTGGGGGAGGGGAGGGGGGGGGGAAGGCAGCATAGTTTGGGCAAAGTTATGGGTGGATAAACCCCAGTAGATCCAGTTTGGTGTCTCTCTCTCTCTCTCTCTCTCTCTCTCTCTTTTCTTTTTTTGGTAGTTGTAAATGGATAGAATGCTTTTATTTGTTTATTTTTTTAATGTGGTGCTGAGGATCGAACCCAGAGCCTTGCCCATGCTAGGCAAGCGCTCTACCACTGAGCCCCAGCCCCAGCCCCAGCCCTTGGTCTCCTTTTTATAATTGGAGCTGAGATAAGGAGATGCAGTCTCAGGACAAGCTAGGGGGAGAGAGAGAGGCCCGGGTGGGGAGTGCCGGGGTGTCCCTGTGCTGCTCTTCTTCATCCTCTTTTCTCCATCCTCGGCCTCTGCAGTACCTGATGGAGGGCAGCTACAACAAGGTGTTCCTGGCCAAAGGCAACATCCCTGCTGAGAGCTACACCTTCTTTATCGACATTCTGCTGGACACTATCAGGTGTGTGGGGGACCAGAACTCTGTGAGGTTCAGAAAGAGCTCGGCCTCTGGCATAGGGAGCCCTGAATTTGAAATCCTTTCTGGCCACTCTGGGTAGGCTGGGCATGTTTCTATCCTAGCATTTTAGTTCTTTTCTGTGAAATGGAACTGGTCATGCCATTGTGGACAACAGCTCTCCGTTTGTCCCTTGGGCTGTTTACATGGTTGGCCATGGGTCGAACTTGAGCCTGGGTGTGGCATCCAGACAGCTCAGCAGATGGGGGCCATGCTGCCTCTCTGAGAAGTGTTCCAGTCCATCTCTGGGCCAAAAATGCATCCAGTGAGTCACATAACCTCACCTCAGGGCACCTAAATTCTGCAACAGTCAGTTTCCCTTGTCTAGAATGGGGCCACCAAGTCCTGTCAGCCCCTGGGGTTGCTGTCTACACAGGGGCAGGTAGGTATGACATATAAATCCCTTTTGAGGTATAAAAGGGTGTCAAGGGGGGGCTCAGTGGTAGAGCGCTTGCCTGGCACGGGTAAGGCACTGGGTTCAATCCTCAGCACCACATATAAATAAATAAATAAAATACTGTTAAAATAAAAGGGTGTCAAAGTTGGTGGCACAGCTGGTTCACTTGGGTGAAGTACCAGATTGGAATGGGTTTCCTTTTTTTTTTTTATGGGGTGTGTGTGTGTGTGTGTGTGTGGTGCGGGGGATTGAACCCAGGGCCTGTGCATGCAAGGCAAGCACTCTTCTGAGCTATATCACCAGCCCCTCCATTTTTTGGGGTGACAAAGGCAAGTGTACAGACATGGAATAGTGTTTTATTGTTATTGTTGGTTTTGGAGATGGGGGTCTCACTAAGTTGCCCAGGTTGGCCTCGAACCTGGTCTTAAGTGATCCTCTTGCCTTAGCTGGGACTAAAGGCCTGATTGGTTTAGGGACTTCTTTTTTTTTTTTTTTTGTAAGATTCTGAGGGTGGGACCCAGAGCCCTTAATGCATGCTGGGCAAGCATTCTAACAAACCAGGGTATTTGTTGTGAAAGACATACCTCTCCCAAACCTCATTTGTTGTGAGAGCCCATACCTACCCTCTTCCTGAGAGAGGTGACATTGCAGAAATGCCCACGCTCTTCCTTATCCCTCTTTTCTTGAGGGCTCACCCCAACCCCATTCCACAACCTGGTGCATAGCTATTTTGCTACGTTATTGCTGTTCATGGATTCAAGGGACCCCTTGGGCTCTGTGAAGTAGGATGCAGCACTCTCGTGAGGAGGGTTTATGGGAAGAAAGCCCCTTGTGGGAATCCCAGGCTGGATTTCAGAGTCTCAAATCCTCCCATCTCGGAGTGGGATTGGAGTTTGGTTCCTCAGTTCCGGGAGTGGGATTGAAATTTGGTTCCACAGTTCTGGGAGTCGGAGAGATCTAAATGTGGATCCCCTGTGGCCCTTGCTTGTTTTGTGACTTTGGTCAAGTTACTCCTCTAAGCCTTTGCTAGTAAAATAGGGCAGGAACATTCCAGACATCAGTGCTGCACTGAAAGGTCAGAGCTGGCACCTGTCAGGCCCAGGAGGACGGGACCTGGGGGGGTTGTGTTCAGTAACAGGAACCTTATTATTTTCCCCCAGGGACGAGATTGCAGGGTGCATTGAGAAGGCCTACGAGAAAATCCTTTTCACTGAGGCCACCCGGATCCTCTTCTTCAACACACCCAAAAAGATGACAGACTACGCTAAGAAGGTGGCTGGGGTGCAGGACAAGGGGCTGTGGAGCCAAGGGGGGCATGCTCTTAGCATGTGTTAGTGAGCAGTGGGGCAGTCTGGGGGGACGAGACTGTGCAGATTTGAATCCAGCTGTGTGTTGTATGTGGTCCTTAGGCAAGTGGCCAAATCTCTCTGAGCTTGTGTATCCATAGAACAGAGTTTTAATATGTGGGATGAGCTTAGCCTAGCACCTGGCTTCAGGTGGAGGTGGTACACTGCACATATTACCTTTTGCCCCCTTTCTGCCTCCCTGGCACTGGGGATTGAACACAGGGTCCTCTACCACTGAGCTACATCCCCAGTCCTTTTATTTTTTTAATTTTGAGACAGGTTCTCACCAATTTGCCCAGTCTGGCCATAAACTTGCATGCCTCCTGCCCCAGCCTCTAAGTAGTTGAGACTTGAGAGGTGCCCCACCATGCTGGGCTGGCTTTTGCCTTAGAATTCCTTAAAAGTGGCAACTTTTTCTGTAAGACTTTGCTTCCTTTAGTATGGAACATTTGAGCAGGAGATTGCCTCTGGAAATGGTGACTCATGGTGCACAGTGATCCTGGTGTCCTAGGAGGCAGGAGGAGAGTCAAGAGCAGATTGTAGAAGGGGTGAAATTAAGTGTGGGTGATGATGGCAGTTGTTGATCACTTATTCTAGGCCAAATATCATTTCAAAGATTTTGATTCACTGAATCCTTAGAGTGGATATCTGTCTTGAACATGGAAAAACCAGAGCAGATAGAGTGAATTTCTTTGCCTAGAGTTGTGTAGAGGGGGGAGTCATGAGGAGAGGGAGCCGTGGCACACATGGGTGAGTGGTGGCTCCATGGGGTGGTTAGACAGCCTTTGGGATCACATCACCCATCTTTTATTCTTCCCTTCCTGCAGCGAGGGTGGGTCCTGGGCCCCAACAACTACTACAGTTTTGCCAGCCAGCAGCAGAAGCCAGAAGACACCATCATCCCCTCTACAGAACTGGCCAAGCAAGTCATCGAGTATGCCCGGCAGCTGGAGATGATTGTCTGAGCCCACTGGCCCTTGGTTATTTAAAACTGTCACAGTGCAACCTGTCCTCCAATAAAGGTGGATTGACATTCATTCTTCCAGACCCTTGTATATACCCAGTTGGGATGGCAGAGAAACTATCATCTCTGGAGAACCTGGAATTTGGGGGTTTGAGATAACACCATCTAGGCAGCCTTTGTCCAGTGGCTATTGGCTATTGCTCCTGGTCTCAAATACAGATGCCCTGTGGCCCCCAAAGAGCAAGGCTCCAAATGGACACATTGGAATGTTGGGCCAGGGTATCCAAATGTTTCGGCAAAGGGTATGAAGTGTTCCATGTTGGCAGTGGATTAAATAATTTTACAAATGACATGCAAAATGGAATCTGTGGGCTACCACTGGAACAAAAAGTATGGCCCCTGCATAGGCTTGTCCTACTTGTCCCTTTTTGTGAGCTAGTGCTGTGACCTAGGACCACCCTGCACGCCAATCTACATTTCCTGCCTGAAGTTCTTGGGAAGATGTTTTAAGGTGCTAGTCTAAATCTGGCTGAGCCATTTGTGGATTGTGGAATTTTCAAGAAAGTCATCCAGAATTGGTTTTCCCCACTGTAAACTAGGAATGCTCCTTTCCAGAGTGATTTGTTCTAGAATGTGAGCTTGGCATCGGGTCAGCTCAGAAATGGAAAAAAGCTGATGGGAAATGAGACACCCCCCCCCCCATCGGTGCAGATGCTGGATAAACGGACCCTATGTGGTGCTATGATGGACTTCTGCCTTGTCCCACCCTACTCTTTCAGCCCACAGTGGGTGACTGACGGGCAACTAGGCACGTGGATTGGTTATTTTATTGGCATGGAGGGGAAGGCAGAGGGCGTTGACTGCACTCAGTTGGGATGGGTGGCCTGCAAGTCGTAGTGCTCCAGCCCAGCTACCAGGGAGCCAGCGAGCTTGATGGTGGCGACCCAGGGTGGCTCGCTCAGGTGGTTGGTGGGTGTGCTCAGCCTGGGAAGAGGGAAAAATCCACAAAGGCCTGTGAGGCCCTTACCTCTTCTGGAGCTTCACTTTCCTTGAGTAGAAGCTCCTGAAGGCTGAGAGATCTGGCCTGGGGAGAGGGGTGCTGGAGGATACAGGAGCCCTCCTGGCTCTGGGGACTCTGGAGTAGGCTTTGCAGCACAAGGGCTGGGGCATCAGTGCTCCCTGGTGGTTAAAACTTTGGCTCCCAGAGTCAGAAGTTGCCAAAGTAGACAGGGGGCTAGGTCAGGGCTTCCCTGTCCAGAGAAGTTGGGGATCTACATTTACCCCTTTGATGCCATCTTCCTGCCGACCCTGAAGAGCTTGGAACATGGCCCCATTTGGTGCTGTCAGGCACGGGTGTGGGGGGGGTGTCAAGGCAATGAATAAGGTTAGGCCAGCTGGAACCAGCTTCCCTCCCTGATGGCTCCAGGGTAGCTGGAGGGCCACAGGTCAGCTTGAGGGTCTGAAACCAAGGGGCTGGGTCAAGGTGTCCCCTCTTCCCAGTCAGGTTGTCAGGAAAGCTTCACAGGGTCCTGAAGGATTGGAGCTCAGGTAGATTTGAGTTGTAGGTAAGGGAGGGTCTATCTTGGAAAATCTGGTTCAGGACTTAAAAGAGGTATGCCCTCCCCTCCCTACATTCCAGACTTCCCCTCACCAGGCAGACACGTTGCGGGGCAGTCTGCGATGACGCGGCTGGTGGCGGCAGTAACACTTGCAGGGACAAGAGTTAAGCACTTGGAAGGGCGGCCAGTGGCGCGCGGCGCCCGAGCTAGCTGCCCCAGCTGTAAGGGCCCCACTGCCACCACCCCCTCCACCGCTGCTGTCAGTCACGGTAGCTGCAGTCCGTTCGCGAGGACCATCTCCAGGGGCGCCATCCTCACGGGTCACTCCACGGGCCGCGCGGGGACCCTTGTTTCTGCGCGTGCGAGCCTTGATGGGTGGGGGCGCAGGCGGTGATGGATCGGCGGTGATGGGAGCTGGAGCTGGGGATGGGGCCTGGGCCGGTGCCTGGGCCTGTTCGGCAGCCAAGGCAGGGGGCATCACAGGGACTGGGGCGGGAGCCAGGGCTGACTCCACATGGCCAGAGCATGGGGTGGGTGGACGGGCCACCGGCAGCGGCGTTGGCTGGAGCACTGGAGACTGCGGTGTGGGTGGCGGCACTGGTGGCGGCGTGGCTGGTGGCGTGGGCGGTGGCGGTCGCGGCAACAACTGCTGTGGACCCGGTGGCCCAGGGCGCACGGGCTCGCCATTGGTGGGCGCCGGGAAGATGAACATAGGCGGCGCCAGCAGGGCAGGCGCGGGCCTCCGGGGCCCCGGAGTTGGGTGAGCCTGCCCTGGTGGTGGCGGAGGGGAGCCCCACGGTCCAGAGAGCGCAGCCGCGCGCCGTCTGGGAGCCCCGACGCCTCCGCCAGCCCCATTGAAGCGAAAGTGGCGTTCAGGGCCATCGGGAGGGCTAACCCAGTCGAATTTGGGCTTTGAGCCTGGGAATGTGGTGTAGGGAGGCGGGGGTAGGGCCCGGGCGTGGGACGCAGGCGCCGCGGGGGGACCAGAACACCCTTCGCCGTCTCCATTCCCTCCCTCCGTTTCCTGTGCCGCACGAGGGACCTCTCCCAGGGTACGAGCAGCTCCAGGTGGGAGGGGTCCCTGTTTCAGGACCTCAGCGTAAGAGATGGCACCTGAAGCAGCGAAGAGTCCTCCGCCTCCACCGCCCCCGAGCGAGGCTTTGGTAGCTAAGGGACCCGAGGCTGCCGCAGGGCACAAAGGGGGTGCGGACTTGAAGGTGACTTTACATAGCAGGCTCAGGCCGGACTCGGAAGCCGCAGACCGAGCCATTTCGCCTTCGCCCGCTTGGGGAGGAGCCCCTCCGCAGGCCCCACCGGCCGTCTGACCCTCGCCGATGTGCCTGGCCTGGCTTTCTGTGGGGCTTGTGGCAGATGTGGCCAGAGCTGGAGTGATTCTGCGGTTTGGGGGCTGCCGGTCTGAAGGTGGCAGTGGTGGTGGCTTTCGTGGCTCCAGGGGCGTCGGAGGAGGAGGGGCTGGGGCTCTCGGGACAGGGTCCTTTTCAGTTAGTTGCCTGGGCAGCGGTGGCAGCGGGCGGAGGCTCGGAGGGTCGCCCTGTCCGCGATGGCTCGCCTCCAACAGGCCGCGGATCCGGGGCACCGCAGTGCCCGTGGGTTTTCGCCACTTAGACGGCGCGGGCAGCAGGGTCCCCACTGGGGGCGGGGGTGGTGTGGAGACTGCGGCTGCAGCCGCCTCCTCTGGAGGGGGCGTCACTGGCAAGGGCAGTTCTAAGGTCAGGGGCAGGGGTGAGGGTGAGGCCTGGGGCTCCGGGGGTACCAGGAGTCCCGGGGGCGCGGAGCTGCCAGGGAACCAGACGCCCAGCCCTCGAGCCAGGCGCATGGCCGGGGAGGAGGGGGTCACCTCGGGCTCCACCAGGGACGTCCGGCGGGAGTCAGAGGCGCGGTCCGAGGCCTGTTCTTTTCGGGAGCCCCCGCCCGCGGATGGCTCCGACTGCACGTTCCCCATTTCCGACGGAGGTCGAGGACTGCGGTCAGAAAAACTTTAGCCAGTCAGTCTGCCAGGGCAATGGGGACCCCACGACGTTGTCTGTTCCAGAACTTATCCGTCTGCATTGGCCCCGCCCTTGTCCTCCAATATCTACTCAGCTCCAGTCTCCAGTCTTCGGTTTCCAGAATCTCGACGCTCACGCCTACTTCCCCGTGACCCCTCATAAGCTGCTGGTAAGAAATTTAGGCCCCAACCCCTTAAAGTTCTAAGGTTCCACCCCTGTTTCCTTGGCTGGTTCCTTAAAGCACATCCCTACACTTTGGCCAAGCCCAGGGTCTCCAGACTTCAAGACTCAGGTCTTGCCCGCCTTCCGGTCAGTCTGTCGGGCCACACCGCTAATGATGGTTGTGCCCCGTAGCCTACAGGAGCTCAGGCTTCTCTCCCAGCACTCCAATCATTCTCCGGGGGCCTAGGCCCCGCCCCACTCTCTGGTCCCGCCCCCGATTGTCAGGGGAATCTGGCCTCGACCCCACCCCGCCCCCACCTGTTGTCTGGTCCTGCCTCTGACCAACAAATACCAGGTGTTCTGAGCATGTTAACCCTCTGACCATCCAGTCTCTGTCGATCATCTGGATCCCTCCCTGTTCGCAGGCAGCGGCATATCCTCAAACCTCAATCTTCTTTTCCCGCTCCGGATCTACCAGCGGTCTCAACACTCGGGCTCCACCCCTCCCCCAAGCTCCGCCCTGTCTCCGTCCAGAAGACCCCACTCACCGACTTCTCCCGCCGACCAAAGTTCAGACCGCAGCCCCCTGGGCCCAGGATAGGGCAGGGAACGGCCGTAGCAGAAAATAACCGAAAAGAACGGGGGTGCGGGTGAAGGCAAGTGGGCGAGACAGCGAGGGCGGACCCCGAGATCTATGCCCCGCCCCCGGGCTCGAGGCCCCGCCCTCCTGTGAGCCAGCTTCCCCTGGCCCTGACGAACCTGGATCTCCCTTTGAAAAACTCCGGAGTCCTCTTCCCCGCCCCCAGGCCATCTGTTCATAAGCCCCACCCCTTTAGAACGTTCTCTTTAGCTCCACCCCTTTAGAATGCCCCGCCCATCGTTATCTCCCCCACCCCCGTCCCACCCATTACGACCACTGCTACGTAGCTCCTCCCTTTGGGACCTCTCCTCTGCCCCGCCCCCAAGGCAATGTATCTCTAAGCCCCTCCTTTTTAGGATCTGGCAGTACCTCTTTGCTGGACCCTCTCCTTCCCTCCGCCAGCCCAGGAGGTCCATCCTCGGTGGACCCACCCCTTCCATGACGCACCCTCTTGTCGGTTCCTTTAGCATCCAAACCTTCTTCTTACTCAGCCTCTCCAGCCCCGCCCCCTTGCGAATTCTCCCTTTGCCCCACCTCTTTTCGAACACGGCCAGGCACCCAGCCCCTCCCATTTAGAGCCCAAACTGTAGACCACCGCCTCTTTAGAACCCTGAGACCAAGCCTTGTCCCGG